TTTTGTACAAGTAGATTAATCCATTGTTTACAGTGACTGGCTCTTCCTTCTGTCATTAAAACTCCACTGTTTTGTGTCCTTGTGATGCCAGAATTGTATAGACACATTTTGCTTTACTAGATTCATGTACTTCAGTCATCCATGCTCATTCTCGCAGTACATGCGTTCTCTTTTGTTCTGATATTATGGTTTTTCCTTTTTCTTTTTCTTAGTTTCTTCTGCAATTATAAATTTCTATGTACCTTTTTTCGTAGAATTGCGAATGCAGCTGCAGCTCCTCAAGATGGAATCAGGACCATATCCCGCCCCTGCACGTATTTCGAGTGAGGAAGATGTAGCACAACATTCATTGGTGGACTTGGAACAAAACCATAAATTAGAAGCCGAAGACTGGGAAGCTTCTTATGTTCTTGATGTGCTGATCAACTCGGGTTTTGAAGAATCTGACCTCGATTTGTTTAGAACAACATGGCACTCCCCAGAATGTCCTTTGCATCCTGACTTGTTTGATAACCTTGAGAAGAAATATAGTCATGAGAATTTGGAGTCGAGGTCTGAAAGAAGGTTGCTGTTTGACAGAATAAATTCAGTACTTGTAGACGTTTATCAGCAGCTTGTTGACTCGTTCCCATGGGTTATGCCGAAACTAACGGGAGTTGATTTGAAGGGGCCAAAGCAAGTGATCAGAGATAGTCTCCAGAAGTTGCTTTCCGGCCAAGATTTTCAAGCCAAAGGGGAGACACCGGAAAGTATACTTGACAGGGATATGCAGTGGTTTGGATTCAAAGGAGAAATTGACGTGATAGGCAATGAAATTGAGAAATTGTTGATAGATGACATGATAGCAGAGGTTCAAACTTTGTAAGTTTAGAACAAACTGTTAAAGTGTAGTTGGTTATAGAAACAGACGAAAATGTCTGTTTAGAACTAAAGAAATAATGAACTTTGAAATTTATTTCCAACCTACTAATCAAGTAAAATTACGATCCTAATTGTTTTGTGTTTAATTTATTTATTTAGCCCTGTTACTTCATGAAGTTGCAAAAAACCCGATCCAACCGGACAAACTGACCTGTCATGGTGGTGGATGAAAACCTTGATTTTAAACGTTAAAAGAAGAATTTAAAGGAAAAAAAAAAGAACATTGAAATCGATGTTTTAAACCTATTTGGTTCGATTTTGGGGTTGGACATATATATTGCAATCACATTGAAGATAATGAGATTTATATAATTTAATTTATAACGTACAACATTAACTATAATTGGATTGAAAATAATTTAATCAAGAATTACCACTCATTCAAATCGAAAAAGTGCTCAAAATTTTCACACGCGTTAGGATTTAGAATTACGAATATTTAAGAAAGTTTATATTTCCACAGAGTGGTAACTTTCAAGTTTAGAGAGTTCACTCATTGAAAGAAGTGGCAGTTTCTTTCCTTCAATATTATAAATAAGTAACAAACTTACAACAAGCCGACCTTAGCTCAGTTGGTAGAGCGGAGGACTGTAGTTGTTGCTGTAATCCTTAGGTCGCTGGTTCGAATCCGGCAGGTCGGAATTTTTTTTAATTTTTTGTTTCATTATTCATTAAGATAATGTTTGGTAGATGTTGGGAAGTCAGATTGAGATTAATACAAATAAATCAACTGTCCATTTGCGTTGAATTTTTACTAAAGGAAAGTTTACACAAAAAGCACTAAATCAGATTATAATTTGAATTGGAGATTTTGTTTTATTTTGTACAATTTCCATTTAGTGGGTAAGTGATCCAACTTAGTGGTTATTTTTTTTGTTTTTGACAGATTTTCAAATCAAA